CAAGTCTGCTAGACTGTCGCGTTTTGGGCGCTATCTGCGGTGGACGGCGCGGTCTTCGAGGCTATATTCGTGGATACGTCTCTTGTGCAGGTCCTTACAAGCTTTCGTAGGTAATGCTCCCTTGTATTTTGTTCAAAGCGAGAGTGGACTAGGCGCAGCAACCACTCTGCTTGTTCGGCAATGTCGAGAGTGACTGTGATGTCGTCGATGGTTTGCTCTGTCGGTACAGACAATATGTCTTCACTTGTAGCGAGATCAGCATTGGAAATGCGATCACGGAACTGCAGTTTGCCTGATTCGAGAGCCCAGGTCAACTGTGTGCGGCGCAACACAGAACACAATATTCTCTTCGCGACCTCGAAGTCTCGATCCACCGGCCCGATATGGTCGATACAGAGGAGGTGCATGTGCGGGGAATCAACGATGGCTCGCAAGGCATCCCAAGCAAGGGTTTCCGCAACTTCGATATTGTTAAATAAGAGCATGAGAGTGATGCTCTCGATGTTTGCAAGTGCAGATCCCACAGCCTGGCCTGCACTTGATCGGCAAACTTTGACTTCAGCCCAAACAGAGTTGCGCTCAGAGTGGCCCTGACTGGCTGAAGAGTAATGGAGCGCCACCGTGTCTGATAAGGAATAGCCAGTAAGCTTGGCACCGATCGCATGAGCTAGATGATTCACCAAACAAATTTCCCTTTAGACTGTCAAGACTCATAGTCGCCTCTCCGGGTTCATCTGGTATCAACGCAATCAGTCCCTGAAGCGTCTCGTCCTATGCGCAGTTGTCAATGCCCATGTGGCGAGCAGGCGCAACAATGTCAGCAGCAAGCGTCACTTGATTGGGTACCACCATATCCTTACACTCCTGTATCGCACACTCGAGGGAGTAGCGGTCTGGCAGAGGACGTCGCCAAATTCTGCGTGACTGGACAACCAGCGACGGGTCAAGGAAGGTGAGTCGCTCGCAATTACATTCTAAGAGCGTGTGGAAGTTGTCAACGAGTTGTGCGAGCTCGGTCTTGCTCGTGAATACGACACTGTCGAGGGCAAGTCTAGAAAGTCGGACGTAAGATGGAGTAACGCCAGGTACCGACTCAAATGGGGCCCAACGGTTGGCCATTGATACAGATGCGACATCGCCCGCGCAGTTTCCGACAATACACTCGAATTCTGTCTCCCGAAGTTGTGTCGAAAGCCCATGCACATGATGGAGCCAGGATTTTGCCCCGGTGGCTTCTTGACAGATGATTATTCGCTTGATGGCTCCGGTCAGACATGAAGCCGTAAATTCGGAGCTGCTGACGATGTTCTTCAAGAATTGCACGTCTTCGGCGCTGCACAGCTCAAACACTCGGAGGAGGATAGGTCTGATGGCTTCGGACCAGTGCTTGCATACGAGGGCAGGCCCAGCAAGCCCGTGTTTTAACTTGCGACTTGGGTCTAAGTCATAATAGGAATCAGCTAGCGTGAAAGACTTCAGAATGTATGACAGTATTTCAGGTGGCAGATCGGCTCCTGTGGCGGATGACATCTTCCAAGATGACGGGATAGATGTATACAAGTCTTAAGGGTACGAGAATATGAGGACTGATGTGGTGTACAAGCCTGAACGGTGGACGACACATCTGCAGCATGATAAGATGGCGGCGCACAGCCGTTTGCCTTGTGAAATTGGGTGTGCATAGCTCCGCACCACTCTGCCTTCCATGCAACCACAGCCATCGCCTGGAGCTTCACTTTTTCCAGAACATCGCAATACATTACACATCAGCACCAGCAAATCAATGAGAACAAATCGTGTGTATTGTTATAGCCTTACATGCATGTCCGTGTGAATCAGCTTCCCAGCTCTAGTATGGACATCCATGTCGCCTATCACTACAAGCGTGAGCTGATTTCAGATCACCTGAAATGTCCTGGTCAAGCCATCAAAACTGTTTCATTTTCGAAGATTTAACCGGGGCTTTCTGGTGTCCCAAAATGATGGATTTGCTACCACTTTTGTAGCCATTTGCAGTGCAGGAAAATGACAAATTTTGTGTAGCCTGAAATGAACCTGAAATGACTCAATATGGCTACATTTCAGTACGGCAAAGAGTTCATGTTTCGGAAGGCTTTGTGGCGCATTTCGGAACATCTGAAAGAACATGTAGAAATCATTTCCGCCTCATGTTTGCAATGAGGAAAGGTCCGGGCAAGGAAAACTTTTGATGGTCCTAAAATTACCATTTACGGCAAATTTGTAATACATTTCTAGGACGTCTCTGACTTATCTCAAGTAAAAATCTTCTAGCTCATAAAATAGCTTCAAAATCCATCAGAAATGGCAATTTCAGGACCATCAAAAGTTTTCCTTGCCCAGACCTTTCCTCATTGCAAACATGAGGCAGAAATGATTTCTACATATGTTCTTTCAGATGTCCTGAAATGTGCCACAAAGTCTCCTGAAACATGAACTCTTTGCTGTACTGAAATGTAGCCATATTGAGTCATTTCAGGTTCATTTCAGGCTACACAAAATTTATCATTTTCCTGCACCACAAATGGCTATGAAAGTGGTAGCAAATCTATCATTTTGGAATACCCAAAAGCCCTGGTTAAGTCTTCAAAAAATGAAACAGTTTTGATGGCTTGACCAGGACATTTCAGGTGATCTGAAATCAGCTCATGCCCGTAGTGTATCTAGCCAAATCTTCAGCACTGGCCATTATTGATAACCTACAGTCAGTCGCATATATGTGCATTAAGCTATAGTACAAGTACCCAACAACCTTCCAGCGTTATTCATCTTCTCGGCAGCATGACAGAGTTCACCAGCTACGATTACAGAGCTCCGCTATCATCTCGTGACAGTTGGCGGGTGAGCTTGCGTTCCCGCTCTATACGATTAAGACACTTGTGGCCCGATGTAAGACAGCAAGCGGTAAAAGGAGGGAAAGCTAATGTACCTTGACAGAGTCAGGTCGTGTACCTGGCAGTCTGGATAGTCGCTGGCATATGAAAAGCAGTGAGTGAGAGTCGGGTGACTGGAGGGAAAGTAGTGAGTAGTCGCAGCAGGGCTTCCGCATTCCTTGTCAGACTGTCTTGCCGAGATGACCTCCATCGCATGCCCATTGTTCTCACCTCGTGCCAGGCTCTAGCTCTCCACAACTTGCCAAACCGAACCGACTATAACATAGCCTTTTTGACGGCACTATGCTGAGTGTGTAGCAATCTTCGCACACTGTAATTCTGTGTCTTGCCTTAGGGTTAAGCAATTTACAAGCGGAGGGTCTTCAATTTGACAATGCGTTCGAGCTTGTCAAGTCTGCATCGGGTCCGTAACATACAGTAGGGCTGGTGGATCTGTGGAGGTTTGGTATACATCTCTTGTGAGGTCTTTGTTGTTGAAGCACCTAGTGGCTCTGGCTCGGTGTTCCGCCTGGCATGGACTTGTGGTGGACATTTGAGATTAGGCGCTGCTAATACGTAGATAGTGATTGGACAATTGTATGTAGTGCTCCCACGCACAGACCTCTTTATGGCAGGCTTCCCCATTCTAGCAGACTTTCAATTTTCGCTTTCTTTTAGTATATAAGGACTCTTCTCGCATTCCCACTCTGCGTGCTCTTTCCCTTCGCACCCAGAGTAAGTTCCTTTGTCGCTCTTGCGCAGTATGCACTTATGCTTACACGCTGTATAGCTAATCCCCTGTGTGTATTAGATCGTGCCTGCGTGCCACTTGCCAGTTTGCACTCGTGCAGTCCAGTCGTCGTATCATGACAATATTCGTTGTTAGATTCCTATCGCTCCACAACTTACGAGCAAAATTGTAAGATGATAACAAGCACACTCACGATGTCAAAGGATGCAGAGATCAGGTCGAGCTGCAGACAACAAGGGTGACTATCTTTAAAGACGGCCAGTATCAAGGGTGTTATTGGACAAAAAAAATTCTCACATTCACACCGGCTGCAAATTTTTGTTTTTGATGTGCGTCTAAGGTTATGCGTGCGTATTTGTGCACTTTTGTGCGTATTCATGCATGATAATGCGCGTTTGGTCACTAACGTGTGCTAACGTGCACGAAAGCTCATCTTTGTGCACCTTTGTGCACTTTCGTGCACGAAAGTGTGCATTTGATGAACTACACATTCATGTTATCCCAATTCATTTTCGCTAGATGTTTACTTTCGCGCACCTTCGCGCACCTTCGCACACTTTCGTGCACCTTTGTGCACTTTTATGCACTCGAAGATTCAAATGAGATGCATAATCACGAAAATGAAAACCAATTGTCAGCTTACACGAAACTGAATAATAAGTTGAGTGCACGAATGCGCACAAGTGCGCACAAACACGCACACATTAGTGCCATTGCCAATCTCAAATCAGGGCGTAACCAAAACCAAAGCTCAGCGGCATGCACGATTGTGTGCGTTTGTGTGCTTTTGTGCGCGATCGTGCACGTTCGTCTATTTTTGTGCACGATCATGTACGTTTGCCCACTTTTGTGAGCTTTTGTGCGCGTTCGTGCACATTTGTTCACATTTGCGCATCCTTGTCCACCAAACTGTGAGTACAGTCTGCACCAATTAGTGATGTGCAGGCCCTGCTTGGGCTTGTGGCAACGCCAAGCCGAGCCCTGAGCCCGAGCCAAGCCCGAGCCTGGCCTAAGCCCGGGCTTGCCAAGCTTAGGACAAGTATTTATATGCTACGAAAGTGAGCATATTTGTATGTGATAGGCTGCTATTGCATGTACCCACTGTACTGCAGCCTCCAGAGAGGCATGCAATCGTGCTACAAGCCACGTTATGACAGGGTTCGCGAAGGGGTGCTTACGGCGAACACCAGGCGGTGGCGCACAATTGTGCCTAGTCACACTAGCAGGGATCGCCCAGTCTGGTAAGTCAACATTTTGTCTCGTATGTGTATGTATGGCAGGCGCGGTGGCCACCAGGGTGACCTGCTCGCACATTCCGCCAGTGACTTCAGCCTCTGTGCCGTACACCGTCGGTATACCGTGTACCTGTAGCTTCCTAATTAAGTAATTAATCTTGTTTGGGCCTGCTTTGTGGTGTGCCCTTGCCGAGCCCAACCTGCGGTCAGCTCTTAATGTGTGCACAGCGCCGTAGTGCGCTTGCTTAGTGTTTCGCTTGCGCGCAAAAATAGGCAAAATTGGACAAAATTGGGTGAAATTGGGCATTTTAGAGAAGATAGCGGCTGCATAAAAACCAAAATGAATTATTTCGATTATTTACACAAGCTTGACTAGTTTGGGGGCGGCAAGGGCGACGGCAGCAGTCCCGGTATCAAGCGCGTGCCGACTGACGCTTCGGGCACGCAAGGTGGGCGGGTGCCGATCGCGATCGCGCTGTCATGCACCATAACTATAAGTATAGGAAAACTAAAGGAATAATAGGTATTCAAATCAAAAAGAAACCGCTTACTCAGAGCTGCAAAGTAAGCATAAACAATTAAGCTTACTAAAAGTGAATCAATGACTAATAATATGACTCAGCTTCTTAGAAATCTGGAAACTATGCTTAGTAAAGGTCTATGCTCAACAGCTATGAATTACCAAAATATAGTAATACTCTAACAAACATTAGTAATAGCTTACCAATACATTAGTAAAACAGACAGAAGGCTGACTAATACAGACAAAATGCTTATTAATAAAAGTAGAAGTAGCTTATTAATTACAGTAGAATAGAAGAGCCAGTTTTGCCATTGGCTAAGGAACAACAGGCTGAAAGGTATAAATAGGAGAGGTTCTCTGAGAGCAAAAAGACACAAACACACCAACCCACCAAGCACCACACACACTCTCAAGGATTTAGCTAGCAGCAAACCTGCAGTTAATCCCCTGAGCTCTTTAGCTCTCAGAGAATAGACTCCTTTCTTTAAAGCCTAGGAAATTCCTTAAGCACAGTAGAGCCTCTGACTTTCAAATAACCTGAAGGGAAACGCCCTTGGTATAGTGCACAAGTTCACTATTTGACTAACCCTAGACTGGGAGAGCTAGTGGCGTCATTATTTGAGACTGTGGTACGTCTCCTGTAGAGCTTACAGTAATTAGACTAGCAGTAAAGAGATTAAATCTATTCTTGATCTTCAACTCTAAATTGGAAGCTTCAGACTGCTTCAAGTTATACAAATCCTCTAAGGACATTAAATTGTCCTTACTAGCCAAAGCTTACTAAGTTAACCAAGACATTAAGTTGTCTTTGTTACCCTCTTATCTTACTTATCTAAAAACCCTATTCTACTAACCCAAGTAGCTAGTCCTTAAGCTACTAACCAAACCTCCTTACAGCCCATCTTCTAAGATTCCTTAAAAAGTCCCTTGTAAACAGGCAAGTGAGGCTTTAGAGTACTTAAGCAGATTAGTAGGTGGTCTTTGAATTAGTCCCCCACGAACACCAGGATAGCTTGGTTGAAAGGCTGACCCAGTGAACCCTGGAAAGAAAAGATTGGGAAAACCAAATCTAAGTATTCCATACTATACTCTTCTTGCTTTTAGTTTAGAACAGACCAAACTCCATTCTCTTTTATTAAAAAGTAGCCTTCTAGGAGTTCTCCTAGAATCTTCTTTATACCAAACCTCATTTTTACTTTATACTTACTTTTCTTATCCTAACCTTTTCTTTACAACAGCGCGGGCTCGGACAACTCTGGTGGTCACCCGGGCAGGTTACCGCTTTGGGTGCGACCCCTAGCAACGGGCCGTGTACGCAGGTGGTGACCTCGGTTGCTGGTGACAGGGGTCACCAGCGAGGTGACCAGGGCCAAGTGGCACCCGGGCGTATACTCTATATAAAGTCGTTCTTACCATGTTTTGAGCCCAGAGAACAGCAACACATTTGGTGCACTCAAGCCTGGGCTTTCGGGTCGGGCTTGGGCTTGACTATGCTCCGAGCCCGACCTTGAGCCTGCTGCCAGGCTTGGCTCGGGTCAGGCTTTTTGGGCCGGGCTTGGCGGGCTCGTGGGCTTTGAGGCCCGGCTCGCACATCACTAGCACCAATTCCAAACTCATTTTTTTGTTCAATAGCAACCTTCATACGGCCAGTGAGCAACTCTGCATGGGATGGAGTGATCACGCATCATTGCATGCCATAGCTTTGCCACTGATCCAGCTATTTTGTGTGGCCTCGGCTACACTAACCCCTGGCGCGGCCTCATTGTCTCGAAAATTTGATATATCCGGCCGCGTTGACCTCTCTGAGTGAATTGAAAAATTGCACTGTTTCAGCAAATGATACCGGCCGGTAGCTCAGGCTCTGCTTCGGGCCAAGAAAAAGTGGCAGTTGTCATGCATGCTTAGAACAAGGGGCGAGAAATGTGAGCTTGAATTCGGCTGCAGGGGCTTTGATACTAGTATTAATGGCGGGGACAACTTTGGAGTGCTAATATTAGCTTACGATGACAGACCAGGACAGCCAAGGTGCACTATAGTGATGCATTCTCACAATTTAGCGTCTTACAAAGACCGCCGTTAGCCAACGTATCTCTTCCAGATTGAATTTGTCGTGATCAGACTGCTCTGCTAGCTTCTGGTCTTCGCGGTTGTGCGACACAGGTTGCCCTCTCGGGACCCAGACGGACAGCAAAGTTTAGTAATGTCTCGATCCCCATGTACGCCATAATAAATGGCAAACTCATGTACCTGCTGATGGTAGGATGGAACTTTGACCGCGGCCTCAACACACGTTCAGGTGGGCATCGTCAGGTAGGGCGTGCAGCATCGCAGATAGCTTAGCATTGGTGCGGGGCATGGTAAGAATCAATGCGAGAGAGCACATCAGTAATAGCGACTACAGAAAAAATGAGAGCGACTTTGACACAGGAGGAGAAATGACTACAAGCCAAGAGTGAGGTGGCAGGCTGCAAGTCGGTTCACCAGCAGCGCCGTGGGAAGCCGAGCTTGAAGCGCAGACTGCAGGGGTGAGCATCATGAGGCATGTGCAGATGCCACGAGCAGAGACAGAGAGTGGCAGGTGCCGAATACGTTGGTGGGCCGAAAGCGAATGAGCAGCGGGAGCAAGCTCCGAGAACGGGACACAGCGCATCATTTACTATCATTCAATAAGCGCTTGCTTTGTGGCACGGGTCCTGGGGCCTCAGCGAATGGTTGGGAGCAATCTCTTTCGCTTCGTTTAGTTCCTATCACTTCACTGGGACCAGAATCATTCCCCTATTCCACATGTATCCTGAAAGACGTTACAATTTCTTCCTCACCATGTATCTACACTCGAGTGCTAAGCATTGAGACTTCTGGTGACTCAATGTTGAGTCCCCGCTCTGTGGCAGTAAGAATAGTAATCACCTCATTTCATGATTTTCAGTGTAGCTTCCTTTTGAAATGTACGTGCAAATCGAAGCAAAGAAACTGGAAGCATTGAATACCGCTGTACTATCAAAAAAATTCAAAGGACCGAATATAACGTGTAACCGAGAATATAAAATAGTGGGCAATAACCAATTTCTGGAACCATACACAAGTTCAAAAGCATGCACCCAGAGGAGAGGCATATATTATGAAACAAAGTGAAATGTCT